CGAAGTGAGGGCGACAGTTGATTTGGAATATGTGCTATAATCATCACATAAAACGTATTCCGCGTCAGTCTCAAGATGACGACAAACAGGGGATGATGAGCTGATGGCTTCGTGATGCTCCAACATCTCTTGCTCCATTATTATTTCAGAAATTTTCTGTTTTGTTAAAAGTTGCCGTCGTTTCGAAAAACTCTTCACTGTGTTAGAATGTGCCATAAAAATACTGTGTATAGAGTCCTGTTCAACTTTTTTTTTCTTTTCAAAATATTCAATTAACTCTCCGTCAGAACTTTGTTGAGTAGATTGATGATTTTTAGTGTTTTCAGTCCGGTTTCCTTTACTGGTTCTTCAATCTGCTTATCACAATTCGGAGCACAATCCACGCCGAAATTGTAAACCTCCGGTGTTCCAATAATGGTTTCGTCCGATCACTCTATGTCACTTATATTTGAACTGGTAGGTGCAAAAGCAAGATATGGACGGAAATCTGTCATATGTTCAGCCCAAACCCACTTTTTTGAGTTGGCTGCTTGACCAGTTCTACCTTTGATAGCTCGAATATATCTCCCATACGTGTCTCTCCAGTTTTTCCACCTTTTTTTATATTTTCCCCTAAAAATTGAAAAGTTGCGGGTTAAACACAATACAAACTTCACTTTTACTTTTATATATCAAACTTACCACTATCTTTTAACTCCACTCCGATATTTTCCCATATTTTGTCTTTTTTTCTTATGTTTTTGTACTCAGCGTGTGCAACATCATATAAAATGGGATTTTTACGCACGTTTTCTATTAGTTTTTCAACATCAACCATTTTTTTCTTTGAATAAAATGTTTTTACGTTGTTTTCCTCTTCTTTGCCGCTTTCAAATCGCTGTCAGCTGCGTTTTGCATGCGTCAAAAGAGAACATTGAATGTTCGAAAAATTAGCAGCGACAGAATCCTGCAAGTGTGCGCTAGCTCATTAAAATATATGGTTAGCATTGTTGTAATTTTTGGGTACATATTCCTGGTTTCAATTTCTGTTTCGTAGCTGGTTCGCTTCTATATAAGTTTAAAAACAACTCCTTTTTTTATTGTTGTTTCCGAGAGAACGAAAAATGACACTGACGATGGCACAACGCCGAAACCGGTTTGTCTCCAAACCAAATTTGACAAGGGATGACGGAAATTCGTTCTATAATACATCATTTAAAAACATCCTTTTTCTCTAAAACTTAAGAAAATTAATATCATAATAGTTACAATGTGTACGCAAAGTATAATTTTAAAATTACACTTGACAAAATACTTACAAAAAAAATTTGATTCAGACCCTTATTAAAAACTCACTTTTCCAGCTATCTTAAAAAAA